GTACATTGTTATAGCTGTTGCATTTTTTAGTAGTTATCGATGCTGGTACATTGTTATAGCTGTTGCATTTTTTAGTAGTTATCGATGCTGGTACATTGTTATAGCTGTTGCATTTTTTAGTAGTTATCGATGCTGGTACATTGTTATAGCTGTTGCATTTTTTAGTAGTTATCGATGCTGGTACATTGTTATAGCTGTTGCATTTTTTAGTAGTTATCGATGCTGGTACATTGTTATAGCTGTTGCATTTTTTAGTAGTTATCGATGCTGGTACATTGTTATAGCTGTTGCATTTTTTAGTAGTTACCGATGCTGGTACATTGTTATAGCTGTTGCATTTTTAGTAGTTATCGATGCTGGTACATTGTTATAGCTGTTGCATTTTTTAGTAGTTATCGATGCTGGTACATTGTTATAGCTGTTGCATTTTTTAGTAGTTATCGATGCTGGTACATTGTTATAGCTGTTGCATTTTTTAGTAGTTATCGATGCTGGTACATTGTTATAGCTGTTGCATTTTTTAGTAGTTATCGATGCTGGTACATTGTTTTAGTTGTTGCATTTTTTAGTAGTTATCGATGCTGGTACATTGTTTTAGTTGTTGCATTTTTTAGTAGTTATCGATGCTGGTACATTGTTTTAGTTGTTGCATTTTTTAGTAGTTACTGATGCTGGTACATTGTTATAGTTGTTCCATTTTTTAGTAGTTATCGATGCTGGTACATTGTTTTAGTTGTTGCATTTTTTAGTAGTTACTGATGCTGGTACATTGTTATAGTTTTTGCTTTTTTTAGTAGTTATCGATGCTGGTATACTGTTATAGTTGTTCCTTTTTTTTAGTAGTTATCGTGTTACTCTCTTACTGTGCCTAATTTATAAATTAAATGTTATCATAGATATCTATGTATAGAAAAAAAATAGTATATATAGAAGGTTTGGTCCTATCCCTGGTTTTGGGTATCCACTGGGGATCTTGGAGCATATTCCTAGAGGATAACAGGGGACCACTGTATTGGTGACACAACTGGTATGCCTGTTATTATTAGTTTTATGTGTCACCTTGACTAGGCTGGAATCTCCAGTTATGCTATCAAACGGTAACCTAAGTATTGTTGGGGAAGTGTTCACAATCTGTTCACTTTAAGTAAATGAGATTATCCTTGATAATGTGAGTAGACCTTATCCAATCAATTGAAAGGACATAAAGAAAAATTGAGGTTTCCTATAAGAAGAAAAATTCTGGTCCAGGTCACAGCACCAAAGCATCAGCCTGCTTTGGTTCCAGATTCTAGCCTGCTCTATGAGGTTTGGGCTTGCCAGTCCTCATGATCACATAAGACAATTCCATGGAATACATATACCTATGTGTATATACACACAAATACACACACACGCATTCACACACACCTATTTATACCCTGCTGGTTCTATTTCTCTGGGAAACCCCAGCTAACACATGTGCTTATTAAAATTCATAGAGATATACCCCTAAAATTGCAAATTTTCCTATATGTAAATTATACCACAATCAACCTGATATAAAAAAACTAATCAGGATTCCATTTGGGGATATAGAGTGTGTGTGTATTTATGCATGTGTGTAAAAAGGAACATGTGTGTGAGACAGCATGCATGTGAATATACTCAGTGTGTGCCTTTGTAGATATCTGTATTTCTGGAAAAGACGTGAGGAAGGTGTTTGAATTAAAAAAAAAATCTTTAATCCTGAAAGTGGAGTGATAAAAGCAACCTATCTGTTTGCAGTCTGAGCTGATTAACTGGTTATTCCACAGCTAACGAAAGAGGCTCCAGGCAGCAGGACCTCAGTTCATTTTTGTCAGTGTACTAATGAGTACCGTGGGGTAGGAAAATTAAATGCAAATTAATCTGCTCTTTGCTGACACTTCCTACACACAAGAAGCTGTGTCAAGGTAAATAATAAAGGTAATGAAGGAGAATAAGATGTGGTTACTGCCCTCACTGTGCTCACAGTCAAGCAGAGAACACTTGGACAGCTCCACAAACAACCGTAACTCTTGACACAGCACAAGAAACAACCTCCAGATAAAGACAATTCTATGGAATGCAGAAGACAGGATATCATATTTAGGCAGGAAGGTCTAAAAGCCTTCATCAACAAAGTTGAATTCAAGGTGGACATGAAGGAGAAATATGATTTTGAGAAGTGGAAAAATAGATGGGGCAGAGAGTATTGAGAGGAAAGAAAAGTACTTAAAACTTTTTTTAATGTGTAGATCCAGGAAAACATGGTCTGCAGAAACCGAGAGCTCCAGCGAGGCCAAAGAGACCTCAGGCCTCTCATAAATGAGTCCAATTTATTTATTAGTGAAACAAGCATTTGTTCAGGGTTGCCTATGTGCCAATTTGACTAGAACATAAAGTATTAACATATGTTTAAAAAGCAAAAGGTAAGACTAAGAAAGAGAAGGCTAAGGTGAAATAGACAGATTTTTAATTAGAAACAGCTTTAAAATGTTCTGTTTCCACTTACTAAATGAATGAACCCAGATGTAAAATGGGTCACCCTGCCCCATAAGACCTGGTAGGATTTGCTCAAACCATAATTCCAGTCCCTGTTAAATGCCCAGTGTCCCCTTTAAGAGCTTTGTGAATTCTTGGGGTACCTTGTCTTGTTATTTCTGACTTGAATTGTCTACTGCCCTGGAGTTCTTGTTTTCACATTGTGCTCTGCAGCCATTGCCTCTTGTGCCTTCCACACCCCTCCAGCCATCCCTTCTTGTCTCAGGAACTAGGCTCCTGCCATTTCCCACTCATCAATATCTCCCACCCTGCTGTATTATTCCAACAATGCTATGGTATCTCCAAACTTAAAACCCTTAACCTTATGTTCTGCTCCAACTATTGCCTTAATCCTCTGCCCCATTTATGGAAAAACATTTAAAATTTGTCTGTTCTCAGTGTCTCCGCTTCCTCCCATCCCATTCTTGCAATTTAAAAATAAATATAGGTTTAAATATTTATCAAAATAAATAGATTATATTTATATATATATTCAAGATATTAAATCAGCGGCTTTTTCACTAGGGTGCTCCCAGATGTGAATATCTGGGGTTAGTGTGGCTGCTCAGACTTGGAGGGAAGATGACTGCAAGTCTAGGTCAGAGGCAGGGCAGTGGGATCAGGCTCGTCTGCCAGACAGTGATCTGGAAATAGGCTAAGGAAGGCAGACTGAAGCACTCGTGCCCTGGGTAGGCTGGCACCAAGCCCTCTACTTTGCAGAGTGTCCCTCATTTTAGCATCTCTCTGGATCTCCCCTTCTACCAGGGAGTGTGCTTAGGGAGGCTAGAGTTGTCATCTGGCTGTGCCGAAAGAAGAAAGAAGCCTGAGTGAAAGGGTTCAGCTGCACTGTGTACAGAGCTGCAAACAAGCCGCACACCTCTAGGGAGGAATCCACAGAACGAAGAGGGAGCTGCTGTCACTTACAGTAGGGATGAAAAAGCAGAGGCGGGAGACCCCTGCTGCCGTTTGCAATCGTGAGCAGGAACCCAGGACTGCTGTCTGGAAGTTGCTGCGGGCAAAGTCCCCACCAAACACAAGAGAAAACATGGCTTCCTCCTCCTCACTTCTTTCTAATCTCCCAATTGCCTCCCACTGGCAAAATCTCCCCTTTTGCTCCTCCAGTACCCCACTAATTTTGTAATAAATGCTCTGAATTAAAGGTCTTTTTTAAAAAAAAAAATCATGAAGTGATTTTGTGTATTTATCCAAAATATTTTTTTTTTTTTTTTTTTTTTACAGAGTTTCGCTCTTGTCACCCAGGCTGGAGTGCAATGGCGCGATCTCGGCTCACCGCAACCTCCGCCTCCTGGGTTCAGGCAATTCTCCTGCCTCAGCCTCCTGAGTATCTGGGATTACAGGCACGTGCCACCATGCCCAGCTAATTTTTTGTATTTTTAGTAGAGACAGGGTTTGACCATGTTGACCAGGATGGTCTCCATCTGTTGACCTCGTGATCCACCCGCCTCGGCCTCCCAAAGTGCTGGGATTACAGGACTGAGCCACTGCGCCCGGCCCAGGAATCTTATTTTCTTGTTCACCTCTGTATCACCAGCACTTAGAATTAAACTTGCTTCACAGCAGATTTTAATAAATATTTCTTGAAAGAATGCACACACACGAAAGGAGTCTTACACAATTTTCTTGATGTCTATCAAAAATAAGAAGAATCAGAAGAATTCCTTTGGGCTGCACAGACTTTACTGATGACTTGAGAAATGGAGGAAGTTTACATCTTAAATGTCAATTTATGCTTTGAATGTTTCAAACACACACTCTTCATCCTCCATTCTCTGGTCTTCTGATGCCCCACACCCCACCTCCCCTCAGGGAACATCTATCTAAATTCACCCTGTGGACGAACAGTTCCCTTTTCTCAAGCCCCGACTCCCAAACTCAGCTCAGGGCTTACCGTTGTAACTCCAAACATTCATCAGTGTCCCGTACAGACTGTCTCCTCTGGGTGCCCCTTTCCCACCTCTCTGCAATGGAAAGGTAGCATCAGAGGGTTCCACTTTCTCACTAATAGGAAATATGCTTCTTCTCTTAAAAGGCAAAATACCTAAAATTTGTTTTGGTTTGAAACTACTTTTTTATATTACAAGTTTGTTGCTTTTAAGTACATATTAAATTAGAAATGTGTCCTCAGATATGGAGGATAGTGACATGTAAGGACAATTCTACCTCTTCTGTATGAAATAATACATTTTAAGGGAAATACAAGAAAATAGAACTATGTATCTCAGCTCCCTGGCTCTTCTCTAAATGCACATACCCATTACAAATTTAAATTAAAGTTAGAACAGCAGTGGGGGCCATGTCTGTGATACACCTTCCATCTTCTGCTTTCGCGAAGAAAACTCAATTCAGATTATTTCTAAAGTCAGAAAAAGAAAACTCAAAGAAGTGCCGTGCATATATGTGTATTACACTTCTTAGTGGAAGAGACGCAATTCCAAACACAACTTCAGTGCACGTCCCTCAGGAAATTCACAAGCTTTGGGGAGCAACCTTCAGGCAAGGTCGTAGACAGAAGAGAACCAACCGCTGGGCCGGCCACTGCCGAGGGCCACTCAGAGGGAACGCAAGGGGGTTAGGGATGGAAGGCTGGCAGAGGAGAGAAAAGATAGAAAAGATTTGAATGCCACCAGCAATCGCCTCGGGCACATTTTCCTGCCTTAGCTGTGGGAGTCAGCCCGGCCGAACAAGGTAAAAACGGCAGGTCGGGCGGGCTGCAGGTGCGGTGCCCACTGGGGTCCACGTGGCCCACGTGGAGGCTGCGACGCTGCGTTCCCAGGGTTGGGGCTGCGGGCGCCTCCCAGGCGGGTTCAAGCCACGCATCTCGGGGGGAGGGGGGGGACTGGGAGAAGGTCACTCCCTGATTTGCGCGCTAGTCATTTCTGCATCCTCGTCATCTCTTGCAATGCGAGTTGAAAACTTACGCAGAGGTTCTGTGATCAAACCCAGACGGGTCGCGTAGCAAAGGAAGGTCGAGGCGCTGCCGCCGCAATCAAGTTCGAGTCTCAGAGCCAGCGGATAAATGTGAGCACGTCTCCCTCTAGTGGGCAGAGCGCGTCACCTTCCACCCGCAAAGACGGCCGCATCTGGGTCAGGCCGAGCTTCGGAGGAGCCAGGTGAGAGGGGGAGCTGGGAGATGAGGAGGGGCGCTTGTCACTGAGACCCACAGTCCCGCCTTGCCTTCTCAGATTTTCTTCTCGGTGGAAAAGCAACTGCGCTGAAGTTTTTACACATCATTTGAGAATGCTTACTCTTAAAAACGTTTGTGCTTAATTCGTTGAATATAACTGTACGTCTCACTGTGATGGAGGGTAGCAGATCGAATGCCATTTTCTAGACTGGTTTTGAAAGGCCTAGGTCACCGCTGAGGGGGGCACTGTATTTGGGGACAAGCTAAGAAGGACTGTGGCAAAGAAAGAGTGACTAGAGAAAGATGATCCTGTTTCCACCGGCAACATCAGTCCCAGTGTCCTTGCCCCATGAGCAGTGGCATGTCGGCGACCTCACCGGGCTGGCAGGATCCCTGGGGTAGGTTGTCCTTGCATCAGAGCTCTCTGGCCGACCCCACCCGCTTGGCAATCAACAGTCATGCTTTCCACCCTTTGCAAAGATAAACTGGGTGAGCTGTCTCTGTCCCAGACTAACCCTGACCAGTCTTTTCAGTCTTTCCATTCTTCTACAGCTATTTCTGGCCTTCAGTAGGGAAGCTTAGACTAAAGTCCGTAGCACAGACCTCAAAAGAGTTTCTAGGATCCTAAAATGGATGGAAAACATACATGTGTCAGCACATGTTTAAGTGTATATATGAGTGTGGTGTGCACGTGTGCATTTGTGCAAGCTTTCTATATGCAAGCGCACAGACTGGTAATTCATTCAGTTTTCAAAGTGTCTATGACCCAAGAAACCTTGTAAGTCACTGACAAAAAGTCTCACCCCAGTAGTAAAACAAACCACAGCAGGGATTGAGGTACCTGGGCTGTGGAATTTGAGTGCCCAAATTCAAATCAGACTGAGATTCCTTGAGAAAGTAACCTAATATCTGCACTCCTTCATTTCCTAATCTGTAAAATGAGAATAATAATGTAGTATGTGATAATAACAGCACTTTATCCATTGAATCAATGCAAGGATTAAATGATATAATGCATGCAATGCACTTAGCAATTTACTTGACACAGATTCATTTCTCAGTAAAGTTTGGCCTTCATTATTTACAATGAACCCCTTAAATGAGAAGCTGTAAAATATTAGGATCTTTAAAATTTCAGTGTGGGCAGCATGCATTTTTCAATAATTTTTAGGATGACATACAAGAATTATTTTCCTTTTGATAAGAACATATTCTGTCTCTTTGTAACAATAAGTGTGGCCGTATCCAGGGTGATAAACTAAATGATAGAATTATGGAATTTTAAAGCAAGTAGAGACCTGAGTTATTGCTAGTCCTCTGTCCTTCAATTCTGCTTTATAGGTGAGGGAATCCAGATGTGTCATGAAAATGACCTGCTCAGGGTACGCTGATGTTGTAGCTACAATGCAGGACCTTGATTTTTAATTATGAACTGGCTTTACCACAGCTCTCAGAGGCCTTCTTCAATCTTCATCACATTCTCAAAGGTTTATTAAATAAAAGATTAAGAATGGTTGTCCTGTGGGAATTACGCAGTCATTCAGGTCTCTGCTCAAATCCCTGGCTTCCTGTTCCCTTTGGCTCAAAGCCAGTTTTCTTCCTCTGAGAACTCCGTATATCACCATCTCATTACCGTTTATCTCAGTCTTAAGGTGCACACCACATTCCACTTTTCTCTTTGTTCCTTAGATTTCAAACATCTTGAAGACAGGAACAAAATATTTCAAAAAGGAAAAGACAGAAGGTATAATACAAAGGGATTAGAAAGTCATTTATGTCACTAGTGAACTTGAGCCTGAACAACTCCAGAGGAACTAAGAAAAGTCCATTTCCCACTGTTGACTTGTTCTCCTCTCCTGGAATCGGCTGGAAGCAATATGAACTGGACAGGCTGTGAGCAGAGCCAACAGCACAAAACCACTCTAAGTGGTCTGTAAGAAAATATACGTCTGTATCTTGGGGCCAGGACTCTAAAATTTCAAAGGGGCAAAAGAGAAATGATTCATGTCTGCAAATCGAATATATACGGCAGGAGCTGGTTCACAGGCGCATGACCAAAGCTTGGTTTTTAGGCCTGGTTCCTGGACCTGGATCCCACGTGTAAGAGCAACACCAGGCGCCTGGCTTGGTCACACATCAGACGTTGGACAGGAAGTCGAGGTGGTGAAATCCCTAGCTCTGAAGGTTAGAGGCCTTGAGGGCAGAAGTCAGGAAGGACATGATGGGGTCTCTTTCTAGCATCCCCAGTCTTGGCTTCTACTCCCTTTTCCTTGGCTTCCTTTCTGCACCTCAAATTGGGCTATGATAGGAAAGAGATGGCCACATTTTCTGCTAATGATGAAGCAAGAGTTCTTAGCCTGAGCTTAGACAGTTCTTTGGTGTCCTTGGAAGAGAACGGACACAAAATGAGCCCAAAACATCTGCATGTTTGTCTGGGTGAAGGATTTATGAATGTCATAGGATTCTCTTGGAGGTCTGTGACCCAAAGGAGTTGAACCATGGCTGCTTTAGGGTCTCTCAGGTCTTCACAGCTCTCCAAACTCTTCCAGAGAAATCCCATTTCTTTTAGAGTTTTCTCTCAGAAGGAATATTCTTTTGAATCTATTCCCTGGCTTACGGGGATGTTCACAGAGGAGACTTCCCTTGTGTCACAGATCAGGGACTGTAGACACCAGTGTCTTGGGGAGGATTCTGTGAAGTGGCTGCAAAGGCTAAGCTACTGGCAGAGAATGCAGGATTCCTGGAGAAGCAGATGCCTGGGATCCTAAGGAGCCTGAATAATTCACTAAACCAAGGGAAACTCCGGAAGCACACAGCAAACTGAGTGACCCCAGAGTATTCTTTTGACATAACAGACACAGTAGCTTAAGGAAAGTGTAGGTTAATGCGTTGACTGATAATCATTAATAAACAATGATAATTTATGTCTTTTCAAATCAAGTTTTCATCTTGACAGAGGGCAGAAAAAACACTTGCCTTAATTTATCTGTAAATTATATGAACCCCTGCTTTGAAATAGCTGGAGAAAATGAGTGATGAGTTTGTCCCTTTGACGAAAGGAACTCACATCCCAGAACAAAAGAATGTCACCAAGATTCCGCTTTCAAAGACAGAGAGTTTACAGTGTTGTTAGAGGTTCTGAGGTTAAATGCTAATAGTTATCTGAGAGTAGCAAGCAATTTACTTTCCATGGGACTGAGCTCTATTCTAGCTGATAGTAAACTGCTTATGTTGCTGGGTTACCCAGGGAGCCAACAGTAACAACAGCAGAGTGTGGCCTACACGCTACAGAGACTTCGCTCACTCAAATAAGAGCCTTTGAAACATGGGCATGTTTGTCTTCTCTCGTACTAGACGCCCAAATCAGCAATACTGCATCTTCCTTCCATTCACCCAGTCTTCTGCGCCAAATCCGTTATCTTCTTGGACCATTGCATCTCAACGGAGAAGAAAAGTAAATGTCAGTGAAAACAGAGAAGGATTTGAGACACTGTATCTCGTAAGACGCTGCTGCAGAGTGAACGTGACACCCGGGGAAAGGTGCTGCGCGGGTCCTGCCTAATATCCACTATCTCTTCTTCTTCGCAATCAGACAACCATTTTGTTTTGAAATTGTTTTTTAAAACTACATTTTCCAACTTTCCTCCAACTAGATATGATCATCTGATACCATTCAGGCCACTGAGATGTAAACACAATTTGGGGAAAATTTTCCCAAAAGGTGTTGACTCAGCTGCCCATGTGCCTTGCGGCGGGGTGGGGCGGGGTGGGGCGGTTCTTTGTACTTTCGCCTTCTTCCTAGAATGGAAACAAGATGCCAAAGTGGAACAGCCACCTAGTGACATGAGACGTGTGGGGACAAAATTAAGATGCCAGTGATGGCTGGGCAGAAACACAGACAGTGCTTAGCTTCTTAATAGCATCAGAGAATAAGACTAAGTTTCTAGTCCCAGGTAACAGGGATTCAAGAGAAAAGTTAACTTTCATTTTAGAAAAAAAAAATGAAAAATTTTTTGCACATGTGACTTCAGAGTCTCTGAAATTCCGACATGCTACAAAAACACAGTATTAGAAACAACGTATATGCGATAGCACGCAGTGACGCTGTTTAAATTCATCAGCTCTCACAATTAGAAACAGACTCTAGCTGGCAGCTCCTTCTTCCCTGGGTCCCAGTCTTTACTGTTTGGGGGCCCACTTTTGCTCTCTCTGCTGAGATAGTTCTCCTGTCTTCTGTTTCCTCCGTGTCCTAGGGTCCCAAATCCCTGTCATATCAGCTGACCAAAAGTCTGAAATTCTTATTAATTTATTAGGGAAGATGACTTAAACTCTTGTGTTTCGTCCTCTTCCATCTCCTGTTTCATAGTAAAAGAATTATCACTATGTTTTCTTGTATCACGTGAATCGTCTCCTGGTTCTTCATTTAGAAACTTCTTAACTCTCTAATCAAATGTTTAGGGTGGGATCAGTTCAAGGTAGATGGGCTCCCCTCCTCCCAATCATGACTGTATGTAGGCCTAAGGCAGTGAAGACAGGCAGGGGTCCACACTGGAATCTTTATTCTCTTCCATTCCATAGTAAGCCCTGGGGAGGATAGGGGTTTTCATCTTCTTTTAATAGATGTATTTACGTAGATCTTGTCAGCAAAAGAGGCTCAAAGATCAAGGATGGAGAAGCACAGTTTAAATGGTAATAACAAGACAAAACCAGTGATTGAAGCTCCCCCTCTCACCAACTTTGCGTCAGAAACCAGAATTTCCCCAAGTCCCTTCTCTCCAGCAGCTTTCTGAGGCCTGTGGCTCTTACCTGACCTCAATTTTTCACAGTGTCCATGGCTCCCTGCTCAGATATGGGCTGGCACCTCCCCTGTATTAGTGACACTCCAATTTCTCCTGTCTTCATGGCCAGAGTTCCTCTCCCTATTGAAGGGGCCAATTACCTGACAGCCATTGCCAGTGGGTCCAGCTGAGTCCCAAACTTTCTTACTTTCTTCTTACTGGCCACAGTTGATGTGTCCTGGGCCATGTCTTCAAGAAGTAGTTGTTTTCTTTGAAAAGGTTTAAGGGCAGAACTGCAGCAGGGACTCTCTTTTTCACCCTGTCCTCTTCCAAAACACACACACACACACACACACACACTCCACACATACACACACACACATACACACACATACACACACATACACACATACACACACACACACACTCCAACCATGATGCAGCAAGGTGGGGTGTCCCGATCCAGGTTGGTCACTGGACTGGGCTACCTCCCTTCCCCAGTCTTCCCAGGAAATATTGCCAAACCTCTGCCATTACCATCTCCACTGGGAGTCAGTGTAAAAAATGGCTAAGACTATGGGCTTAGAAACTCATAAAGTTACATTTAAGTCCCAACTTGCTGCTTTTTTAAGCTAAGAGACTGACAGTTACTTAACTTTTCTGAACCTCAGTTAATTCATCTTTAAAATGGGATTAATGATGATCCATGCTTTTTTAAGGTTGAAATGAGGTCATATATGTTAGGTACTTAGTACTAAGGCAGACATGCCATAAGTGTTGAGTGAATTGGTGCTTCCAATGATGGATTTCTTCCTTTTCCAGTTATTCAGAGGCTAGGAATTCAGCAAAGTTCTTTCTTCATGTATTTCTAGCTAGCGACCTCTCTGCTGCGCTTTCCCTATTTCATCTGCCAGGATAAAAGTAAAATAAAATAAAATAAAATGATAAAGTGACTCTCTAGTCTTATCTCCCAGGTTCTCGTCTCTCCCCAGGTGGGTGGATTCTGAAACTTCTTCTGTCCCTCTCCTTGGACATTCCTTTTCCTGCTTTTTTCAACATTACTTGTAATGCTTAAACATAAAAAGAGATGAACCTGGAATATGGAGGCTTTGTTTCCCCATCAGTTAGGCTGGTTATGTTGTTGGGGTGGCTCAGGGCTTTTACCACGGTTGTGGAAGAGTAGGTAAGGCAAGTAGAGATGCCACTGGCACCTGGAAGATACAGTAAGTCCCAGAAAAAATACAAAGAAAAGGCATGGAACTCAGGTCGGAAAAGATAGCCATGTAAGTGTCACTTGAGAAGGATTTAAACACTCAAGTAGGATTTAAACACACAAATAATGGATGGAGAAGGCCATCTAGGGAGATGGTGAATTGACAGTAAAATAGCAGAGGCTGGGAAGAGTGGAGCATATCCAGTTTGGCTGAATCAAAGGTTCAATTTCTGGATGATGCAAATAAAGATTAGCCTCAGACATTAATATCTGAGGAAGATCAGACATTAATATCTGAGGAAGATCAGACATTAATATCTGAGGAAGATCAGACATTAATATCTGAGGCTAATCTTTATTTGCATCACCCAGACATTAATATCTGGCCAAGCATTTTTTCTTTATGTGTCTTATTCACTTACAATTGGAAGCTAGAAGAAGACTCTTCTAAGAAAATATAGGAAAGTTGAGAAGAGGATGAAAAATCAGACTGGTGACCTAGGATCATGGAAACTGGCTGGATACGCTTCATGGAGAGTGTCGTATCTTGATGAATGGGAAGTTGCTATAATGTTTCTCATAATGCTATTTTGATATACATATACACACACACACATAAGCCTATATATATATATATGTGTATGTCTATATATGTGTGTGTGTATTCAAACATGCATGCCATATATATATGCTACATGTGTATATATGCACATATCTATTCAAACATGCATACCCTACATACATACATGACATACATGTAAGATATACACACAAACATATACATGCATATAAGGTTTTATATTTTAATAGATATATGTGTGTATATAGACATATAGACACAGACACAAATATGTAACTCAATTACACATATGCTTATGTGTTTCACTCCCTTCTTCACATGGTGGCAGGAAGGAGAAGAATGAGTGCCTCACAAAGTGGGGTAGCCCCTTATAAACCCAGCAGCTCCTGTGAGAACTCACTCACTATCACAAGAACAGGAAGGGGGAATCACCCCCATGATTCAATTATCTCCACTTGGTCCCTCCTATGACACACGGAGACTATGGGAACTACAATTCAAGATGAGATTGAGTTGGAACACAGCCAAGCCATATTAACCAGCAGAGCCTGAATTCAGATAAGGGTGGTATTGGTATAGTCTATGTTTTTCTTTTAGTGAATATAAAAAAGGTGAAAATCCATTCTCCCATATATTTTCCTTATTGAATTCTGTGATTTTGTTGAAAAATAAACATTGACATTTAATAACTTTTATTTCTTTGAACACTAGTGAATCTTGGGTTTTGAGTCCCTACTTTAGCCCTGGGTAAAGAGGTGAGGTCAGATCTCAGCTGTTGGCACTTTATACCAAATCACTATCCTCTCCAAGGACATCATTTAAACATTACTGTCAAGCCACATCATGGGAAAATGCGTTGCACTGAAACTTTGTGATCTATTCTGTCCCAAGGGGAATGTAATCAAGTCCTAGAAGGATGGCACCTTTTGGCAAAAGGAGAGAAAAGGAATATTCATTAAGCAGCTTCTACGTACCAGATTCTCTATTTGTGCTGCAAATGTTTCCCTGCAGTTGATTTTCATAGCAATTTTCTAAGATAGATACAGATACCTCCATTTTTCCTGGCCAAAAATTGGGGCCCAGAGAAATTAAATAGCAGGTTCAAGGCCCCAGGGTTAGAAGTAAATTTATGTCATTTATATCTGCATGACTTGAAAGCCTGTGACTTTTCTACTACCCACCAACATCGTGAATTGCAGGATCTGGGCAAACACTCCCCCTTCACTCAGGGAGGAAGAGAGAGGGGCAGGAAAGAGCAATTCATGAAATCCCAAGCCTCATTCCTCAAACCAAGAAGGAGGTCAACAGGCCATTTAGCCCCACACTGCTCATGTACAGGTGACAATATAGAGGCCCCGGGACCTAGGCTCAGTTCTCTAGAGGAAGAGCCTGAGATGAGGGTTAGTTTAAAGGGATGAGGAAATAGGCTAGAACAGGAGAAGAAGGTAACCATACATGTGGTTTGGGACTCTCTAGCTCAGCTCTAGCTCCCAAAAATGTGAGTGAGGCCATTTTGGATGCTCCAACCCCAATTGAGCCTCCTCAGTTGACACCATGAAGAGTAGAAATGAGCTGTCCCCACGGAGCCCTGCCTGTATTCCTCACTTAAAGAATCACAAATAATGGCATGGTTTTTGTCTCCAACCACTAATGATATAGACAGGAGATGGGGAAATACTGGGTAGAAGAGGGTGGTTCCCTGACAAAAGCTCCACCCTCAAGACTAGATTCCCAAGGCCCTCAGTGAGAACAGGCATTCCTGTTTTCCCAAAAGGTTGCCTTTTGCCCTGCCACGCCCCATCCTGTGCCCATGTAAACCCCGAACCTTAGGCTCTAGAGCTGACCAGCAGGTGGGAGAGGAGGAGACAGGCAGATGAACTGGGCAGCCAAAGGTCGCTGCAGAGAAAGAGAGAAGAGGAGGAACACCTGAACACAGAGAAGAGTTCTGCTGGGGACGACAATGGGGGACAGCTCCAAGGGAAGATCATCTTCCCACTCCATCCCCCACTTCTGGCTTCCCATCCATCCTGCTGAGAGCCACCTCCACCACTCAATAAAACTCCCGCATTCATCTTTCTAGTCCATGTGTGACCCGATTTTTCTGGGATACTGGACAAGAGCTCAGGAAACAGAAAGCTGTCACATTGGCCCTGTGCCCTTGCAGAAACGCATAGGGTCC